GTACAATTGATAAATTTAAAAACGTAGCTATAGCAATACAATTGATAAATTAAATGTTACGCAATTTTTTTTATGTTTTTAAAAATTCATCGATGCTCGAAATTCTGGAGTTTGTGATCAACCAATGCTCGAAACTCATCGATTCCACTTTCTAGATCATGGGTTTATAAAAGGGTTAATAAAAGAATGAATTTGTTATTTGTTGTAGGAGGCAATGGAGTAAGGATTAGGAATGTAATAGAAGGGAAAAGAAAAATTAAGAGGAGAATTGATTTTTTGGAAACGAAAACGTGTTGTTCAGTTGTGTAACTTAAGGTGTTTAAGTAAAAAGTATTTTTTTGATGCGTTTAGGGATATTATTAAATGTACTTATCAAAAATGAAGTTAAGGAGTGTGTAGGTCAATTTATTGAATTTCGGAATATATACGTTATGAGATCATTGATTATCTATTCAAAACCGTAATTACGAATTTTTGTATAGTGAATATTTTGAAATAACTGATCATAAATATGTTTGAATATACGTATAAATTTGTCTTTTTGATAACTGAATATTTTATATATAGCGAAGGCAATAGATCAGAATGTGAACTTCGCTATATCGAGCTTTGACTGTTACTGTAGATAAAATTTGATATTTGAGACTTTTAAATAATTTCAAAAATTTAGTAAATGAATTATTAAATAATTGGAGGCAAATTATAAATATGCAGTTTACTGTTTATATAAATAATGTTATACCGGATTATATATGATAAAGGATTTTTATTATATATAATAATTAAGGCTGCAGATAGGATATCAACTAACATATGGCAGTGACGTAGTGGTGCGTATAGACGTCACTGCCTAAATTTTATATGACGGAGGATATTCGAACTAGTTAAATATTACTCTTTCAAATAACATTACACTACAAATAACAATTATCTATAATATCAATATAAATTGCAATTTTTTTAATATAAATTAAAATATTTTAATACGTATTTGGTTTTTATTTTTTTACTAGGATTATAAAAACTTTTTTTTTTAGCATGTAACTTTTGTATCACTTTGACTAAACACAAGATGTTCTCCGGAATAACTTCCCACACCACTCAATATTTAAATATATATAGAAATATATATATTATATTATCGCTTCTTTACAATATAAATTAAAGGGATCCAAAAATTGATGCTCGCTACGAAGAAAACGAGCATCGTATCGGTTAATAAGGCTGTCGGCAGGAGTAACCTCGGATGGTACCTCATTGACTACCCCATGCCCACCGATAAGGACGGTAGGGAAATATAAATTTCGCATTCGGAAGTTATTTATATGTTTACACATATTATGGGATTTTTTTGGATAATGACAGTCAAGTCATATGACTATTATATAACTAAGTGTCTTACAAATTTATTTTTAGTCAGTCATTAAATTAACATCAGTTAATTGTATATTTATTATTATATATGTATATGGGAGTTTTTTTTTTTAATAACGACTACTTTTTAGAGTAGAATCAAAATGTGACATCCAGAAAATGGTTCTTCCTATATATACCAATGAAGAATTAGCTTACTAATGTACTTTTTTCACTATTAATATTAATCTAGTATCATATTACAAATTTTGTGAAGTATACAATATATTTCTCAATATACTATATACCATTTATTAAATGATATACAGTCTCTTACACAATAATCATCTCCTCGAAAGGCAAACTTCCGTTAGTCAATAGTGACTTATTCAATGCTTCAAAAAAAAATGAATGATCTTTAGTTGCTTAATAATCGTTATCCACATATTTCGTATATTAGCTGACCAAAAATTTTAAAGTATGATCCGGAACTCCACATTTGGTAGTTTACACGTGCAATCACGGAATAGATTTCATATGTTCTGTCACCTATATAAATGTCAGATTTTTATTTATTTTTTTTTCGTGTAGTAATCGTAAAAATAATCAAAAATGCAGACATCAAATGTTTGGAATTTCGGTCCAGGTCCCGCCAAAATCCCTACATCAGTATTACAGCGAGCTCAGGCCGAACTTTTAAATTACAACAACACTGGAATGTCGATTATGGAACTATCGCATCGCTCCAAAGAATTCGAAAACCTTAATAATAAAACTCAACGTGATTTACGTACTTTACTCAATATTCCTAATAATTATAAAATTTTATTCATGCAAGGCGGCGGTAATACACAATTTTCTGCAGTAGTTTATAACTTATTGGCTGCAAAAAGACACCAATTAGGTGAAGACCTCGAGGAAGAATTCAATCCTCCACTGGATTATTTAGTCACAGGTTCATGGTCATCAAAAGCAGCAGAAGAAGCAAAGAAATTATATGATAATATTAATATAGTTTTTGATGTCAAAAAACTTAAAGGGTCATATGGATCAATTCCACCAAAAGAAGAATGGAAACTTAGTGGTTCAAAAGCAGCATACGTTTATTATTGTGATAATGAAACAGTTAACGGAGTAGAATTTAATCATATACCGGAAATTGATCCTTCAGTACCATTAGTTTGTGATATGTCATCAAACATACTTTCACGCCGTTTTGATGTATCAAAGTTTGGTGTTATTTACGCAGGGGCACAAAAAAATATTGGAGCAGCTGGTTTAACCGTTGTTATAGTTCGTGAAGATTTATTAATAAGATCCAAAATTTTTGATAACAAAAATTCTGGTATTCCTGCGATTCCCTCTATGTTAGATTACAAAGTAATGGCAGATTTTAATTCGCTTTATAATACTCCACCAATGGTTTCAATATATATTTCAAGTTTAGTATTTGAATGGTTACTAGAATTAGGAGGGATCGAGGCGATTGAAAAGACCAATTCAATTAAGGCTGAAAGGCTTTATGAAGCAATTGATAATTCGAAGATTTATAAATCACCCGTTGAAAAAAGTGTAAGATCAAAGATGAATGTACCCTTTAGGATTCAACAGGAAGAATTAGAGAGCGAATTCTTGAAAGGATCTATCGAATTAGGAATGTTACAATTAAAAGGACATAGAAGTGTCGGAGGAATTAGAGCTAGTATTTACAACGCTATGACTTTGGAGGGTGTTGATTTTTTAATCGAATTTATGAAGGAATTTGAGAGAAAACATTGCCAATAAAAAAGTTAGACACATCTTTTCAATTTGATTTTTTTTTTTTTTTTTTGTTATGCAACTATAGAGATTAAAGTAAAAAGCAAAATCCTACTTAATAAAATTATTAATTTTATTATTCACGATTTCCATAATTTAAGCCAAAATTGAAAACAAATAAATGAATTAAAATACTATGACATGATGTAAGTGTAAAATAAATTATTACACACTCAAAAATCGTATAATTACGACTTTGGATCTGAAGCGCTATTACACGGAGGTGGAATAGGAGAATTTGGATCTATAGGTGGATGTACAACAGTTCCAACTTTATAATATGTATGGTGATCACGATAAAAAGAAGCCCAATTTTCAATATCCTACAAAAAAAAAAATTAAAACTCTGAATAATAAAATTTAAATAAAAAAAAAAATCTTTCTAGCATTGTACCTTGATTTGTTCAGGCGTTAAACCACGCAGGTCATGAGTCAGATGAGTTTGAAAGCATCCTGTGATATATGCACGAGAGGCATCTTTTCCAGCAAAGAAGGAATAACCACCACCCTATATTATAAACAGTTCTTTTTAACCAAGAATATAAAACCCGTGACGTATGTTAAAAATTATGGGCTAATTATTAGATCGTTTTTTATTTTTTCTTACCTTTCCATAATAAATTTTTCCGCTAGTTACGTCAAATACTTCTCCGCTGGAAGAAGTAGTAAATAAATACATATGATGTATATAATTTTCAAGAATGTAAAAAATGTAAAGTTTCTTACTTCATGGCAATATAAATCGGTAAATTTGGATCGGATCCATCATATTTAGCTAACTCTTCTTCAGTAAATACAATTTCTTTTCGCTATTTTGAAAAAGAATGAATATAAACCTTTTTTGAAACTAAGTTTTTGAGAGAAGTACATATTAATAGATACCGGAATCCAATTCCTCCAATTTGTGTATTTATTTTTATATCCCCAGGTCCAAGTCTCGGTAATCAAATAACTAGTCAAGAAAAATGCGATTACAAAAACTACAATTCCTTGTAAAATTGTTTTAATTAAAGTGAAAGATTTACGGGATTCTTTTTGATTATTATATGAGGTATCTGTAAAGGGCACGGGTGAGTCTTTAACTTTTTTTCGTTGAGTTGGTGTTGACATTTTATCGAGAATTTTTTCTTGCCAATCGAAAAATAAAAATTTTGATATTAATTAATATGTGTAACTTAACCCTACCGGTTACTACTTTACACAGTAAACTAACCGGATCGGCTTTTTATCCGAACTAAGATCGACGTAATGAAACAATACCAGATACGTAAATAATTTACAGTACGTAGAAGATAATACTGGGGTGTTAAATCAACTAAGTAATCAAAACTATGTCAGGGGTATTAATAATTTTATTATGATCAGATTTTTAT